TCGGGAACGTTGGAAGCACTGCCTGACGCGTCTGCCTCCGCGACCCGAAAGGAGAAGCGGCGATGGAAGAAGATGAAGAAGAAGATAAATTAATCACGGCACAGTCTTACTTTCTTTCATAGTTTCTTTCTTGCATCATTAGGTTCAGGGTAGCACTTTTAGTTCATTTTCTGTAGGTTCTGTTTGCCATCCTACAAATTTCCCTCTCTAGTGCTCATTGGATGTCCAGGTTCGCGTTGTCATTACTTTACTTCATGTCATACGTGCGATCCCTACGGGCCTCGCTACATGTCTCAATATACTTCATGAAGTTCCTGAAATGTCGCTGTATTTACAATTCATAGAAGAGCATCGGGAAGAGGAACTGAAGAGACCGACTATTAGGCTTATCGAACACTTGGCAGCATCATCATCATAAATTGTCCCGTGGAAGCTGCTCGGTCAGCTAAGGACTGAAACAACCCCTTGAATTTGAAGGAATAGTGCGTCGGGCAGATGGATGAATGGGCATGAGCTTCATCTGATGTTTTTGATAAGGACTTGCCGTTTTGGCACATCGTCGATTTTCTGTTTAGCATTATAATGAGCGTTCCAAAGTTACTGTGTTTTATGCTTATGATTTAGCATTTTGTTTTCTCATGCTTACATTAATTATCGCAGGCTAGTGAAGATTCCTATTCTTAGAAAACATCTGCTTCTGCAGCACTTATGCCTGGCTTGATGAATAGGTCTTCAGCATTTAGCTGATGATGACCGGCTACTGATCTACTACCGCTGACCTGTGTAGTGATGAGTCTAAAACGCTGACTATAAATGCATGGCACACAAGACCTTGTTTGTAAGACCATCGATTTGGCTTATCTGAGTTTGAATAGTTTGCTGGTCACTTGCGTACAGAGGTCACCATCAAAGTATTCGACTTTCAGATCAGCCAGATGGAAGACTGATCGAAGCCCGGACATCTGCAACAGTGTTTGGAATCCTTCCGAAAAGCTAACATTGCCATGTACTGCTACAAATCGGTCTGCAGATGCCAGTTATTGAGTACGCATTCATTGGGTCGTGATTACGCCAAAATTTGTCTACATCTTCTGTGCGATTACTGACCTCTGCTTCGGCAAGCCACCTCTCCGGTGGATTCAGGGAGACCTGCTCAGTTTGTTGTTCGAGGTTGATTGAGGACATTTACAGGGAACGCCGATGTCGAGAATCCCCTGAAATTACAGCTATTCTCATCGAATCCGTGAATTCGGAGCATCATCAGAGACGACGGAGATATGCTGGACTGGAAGTACACTAAAGCTGCAAGATATGAGGACTGTTCCGCCATTCTGACACCGCTAAACCTACAAAGCACCAAGTTGCGAAAGTTTCCTCCGACGCCGTTGCTGCTAACCGACGGACAAGGCGGCTCGCGCGACTGTGCAGAAAGAATATTTTCTTAAACTTAGCACTCGTCTTAAAACGGTCCCCCAATCTGCCCGTTCACCCTCGAGGAAATAAACACGGCACTGATAGCCACGAAGAACAAACAGCCTCC